AACATTTGACTCTAGCACATTTGTTCCCTTTAGAACGGGATGAAACAATATGTATACTGTCACACTTAACCTATTACTTATGTCAGTGTTCGTGCGAAGTAAAGGTTTTTTTTAATAGGTGTTTCACTTTATCACGTAGTTTCTTATCACTAAAAGGGGTTAAATTGCATTTATTAAAACCTTCGTCGGTGTCCTATCTTCAGGAGACTATAAGAGATAAATTCCAATTTCGTCGCACTCAGTAATGAGTTTCCACTTATCGAATAAGTTGGGCGAGAGTGTGGAGGTTCCCATGTCAGTCGCCAACAAGCTCTTTATTATGGTTGCGAATGTCAACTCCATTGCTGCTATTTCCGGAAATCCCCCACAATTCGACGACACTCTAGAGCTGAGCTCCGCGGCTCCAGAGGATTCGGTGCCGCTTACCGAAGATGCAGAGGAGGGGCAAAACAAGAGCCCTAATGAGGGCGACATGCCTTTGCAGCTCAGCAATCTTGATTACAGCAAGGAGGTACTAGAAAAAGTCGTGCACTACGCGATGTTGCCGGATGACCAGCGCACGGCCAACATTCCAAAGCCTCTCATTATGCCCCTAAAGCTGCTTGTACAGGCACATGAGTTAGATCTTGTTAGGGAGGCCGAGGAAAAGCAGTTCTTGGTCCAGCTACTGGATATCGCCTCCTATCTAAGATTTGAGCAGCTTGTAGCTCTGTGCGCCGCGTACATAAGCGAACGTATCGGGGAAATTGCTCGGGGGGCGCCTGACATCATGACCGGGAGCGAGCGTATCCGGGAGTTTCTGCACATGGATAACGAGTGGACCCCAGAGGAGATGGAGCACCTTCGAAGGGAGATGGAGTATGTCAAGCAGGTCGACCCAAGGATATACTAGTGTACGAAAATATATTTTTTTACCCGTTCAATTTTATTTTCGTTGACATTGACGATATCTAGGACTTCCGTCTGCGGCTGATGCATACAAACTGGACAGAAGTGATACGTAAGAACATATATATATTTATGCATATTTTCGCGAAAACGGAATGCGTATGATCCGCTATATTTTATGAATATGTGAATCGTGCTTTGCTTTTTTTTCTGTCCTTTAGGCACAGAATACCAAAAACAGTATGCTACGTGCGTTGGACAGATATGAGGAGGAATATCTTACTGGTTGCTTTTGTGTTAATGGAGCTGAAAGGTTTTCTCTTTCCCCTCTATTTTGCCTTTACAACCCACCATATCGCCAATAGCTATGAATCGCTCAGATATTGAAGTTACCTTACGTTCGAATTAACATGTTCTATAGTCTTCACAAACCCCTGGCGTGTTCCCCATATTGATTACCATTGTGGTGATCTCTATGATTTCATGATCACAGCAGGGTAGAGAAGAGAGTGGCTAATATGAAAAATTCGAATTCCTTCGATTGATGAAAGGATAAACATTCAAGCACAGGGTTTTTAAGATGCTCAACTTCTGAATATGCCCTTTATCTTTTTTGTATGCGTCAAACTTGGATATTGTTTTCCTCCCCCCCCCCCTCCTTCCCCCCCTTCTTCATTTTCGCCTGATTTCATCTCATTAGGTTCTTTCCTTTCGGTGTTTGGATACGATAACGCCACAAGTGCATTCAGAAAGCTAAGAAACCCCACTAAAGCAGACTGAAGTTTCGAACCCACGTCATGCCAAATATCACCCTGTCAAACGTGGAAGGCGACTCGGTGGTGATCCCGGAGGAGGTCGCGAGGAGGCTCTTCAACAAGTTCAGTGTCGTCGACACGTTTCTTCTCGCCGTCCGGCCGCCGAGCAGGGATAGCAACAGCAGCGGCGGCGACGGTGAGGGGGAGGAGACGGAGGAGACCCTCTCCAGCGGCGCGGGCCGCCTGCAGGAGGAGGAGCCCCTCCGTATCACACAGCTCCACGCGAGCCGGGAGGTGCTGCAAGTTGTCGCGCACTACGCGATGCTCCCGAGCGACCAGCGCACGGAAAACATCCCGAGGCCCCTGAAGCGGTGCTACGCCGAGTCCGTGATGCCGCACGAGCTCGAGCTGGTCAAGCAAGCGGAGGAGATGAACTACCTACGCAATCTTTTCGAAGTCGCGTTTGATCTTCGGTTTGAGCAGCTGCTGGCCCTCTGCGGGGCGTACACGAACGAGCGCATTTGGGAGATCTCGAGGGAGTCTCCCGACATCATGACCGCCGCGCAGCGCATCCGTGAGTTTTTGAAGATAGAGAACACCTGGTCCGCTGAGGAGATGGAGAACCTGAGCAAGGAGATGGCACTCGCTAAGAAGCTCGACCCCCATGCATACTAAATACCCAAACAACAACAAAAAAGGGACTATATTTGTGAGAGGTTTGCCGTTCTTGGCATCCGCATCTTTTTTTCCTTTCGGTGGCCGCATTTACTTTAATTTGTTAATCCTTTTTCTCGTTTCATCTCCACGATTTCTTTGCTCTGTATATACCTACAAGTTTGCGAAGCGGGGATGCTTTCACTATCATATCATGATTTCACATTCTTGTGAAATAAACTTCTTTGCATTTGAATTGCAAATCTACATCCTTTTGAGTGTATAAAAATCTTATAACATTCACAGTATATCACTTCTGTTTATTTTCACGCACACTGCACTCTCTCTTGCTGGTGCTTGGGGTGCTCACTTTTTTTTATCACTTTGTGAAGTGACTTCGTCTTGCGGATACATTCGATTTTATGTCATTGAGATTTATATTTACAACATCAGTATCTTTAACCTCTTCCTGAACCTTATCTGTTATGAGTAAACGGGCGACTGGGGTTTCAAATATATTTATATATATTTATTTATAAGAAAAATTGGATGAGATAAATAGTAATCGTTCTGAACAAGTTGTTAGGAAGGAGGTAATGCATATATATATATGTATAACTTGAATATGAAAATTATCAAAAATATCACTAATTGTTTAGGTTCCTTATATGGAAAATTGCATTTTTTTCTTTGATGTGTTTTATTCATTCTAAACTAACGTTCAATGGAAAGAACTACCCTGCTTTTCGCCCAACTGCAGATGTGAGGTGTTGTGGATAGATCTTTTTGCTAATTACAGGTGCTATTCGCATAGTATATCAGACCAAAATATCAAATAGGTAGGTTCCTTAGAATCCTTCCCTTTTGATCCCCTTCATTCCTTTGTTTAACCCCTTTTCTACTGTTCTGCGAATGATGAAATATACATACGCAATGCGATGTCTTCGATATTTTTGAAATGATGGATACTGAAAAAAATCAGCTATGTCGCACTCTGTGATCATTAGCTCAAACGTACATGCTTTTCATACTTTGACACTGAAGATCATACAATCGTTCTGCTAGGGGGGGAGGGGAGGTAAGAAAGAAAGTGTCCCCTGACAAATTAAAAATGAGTTAATTACTCATTGATATTTATCCTTATCTCTAAAATCTCCATAAAAGAGTTTAGACAATAATAAGATCCGTAGATGGCGCCTAACGGAATTTCAGCTGACGTCTTCAGAGGGATTTCCCTCAGGAGGGGACGTTACCCCACCTCGCGCATCATCCGTGTTGATGGCGACCACCATGTAGCGCGTTAATTGCCAAGCCAAAAGAATTTCTCCACAAGGGGGCGATGCTGACAAATTGAGGCCTTCGTGCTAAGCGACAGACTCGTGGTTTGTTTGTGATGGGTGGTGACTAAACTTCGCTTCACTAAATCAGAAGAAAGATATATATATATCAGAAGTCTAGGGCACACTCCCATTCCATCCCATTGAGGAGTCGCATCCGAGTAGCTTAAGCCCTAACGATGATAGGGTAGTCAAAGTAATGAAGGTGCCCCGGCATTCCAAACCCATCCTATCGTCTCGATGGTCAGGTTTCATCTCGCAGAGATAGTCAAACTCTGCGCATCCAAAGTTCCGTTTGAAACTGACGAAGGAGAATGTCCTCCGGTTTTGTCTGTTTCCTCCTTCTGGAAGCCCTGGCTTTTGTTGGAGGAAGTATTACATAACGAGAAGGAGGAAGAGCCCTTGCCACACGGTCGTGATTACTTGATTGTTTCCGTTTCAAAATAAGTTACATGAAGGTCTCTCTGATAGGTGTGCTACCAAGTGACGCGATTTCTCTTGATCTCATCAAGCGCTGCAGTCCCGCGGCTTTGTGTGTGGGCTAGTTGCATTGAATCCACGTTAGTGTTTATGTGAGCGATCCCTTACTTTTCCTCCCGGCGTTTTCTATTTTTGTGGCATCACGCGATGCGCTTCACCCTCGACAACGAAAACGAAGAGATTCTATAGAGACAGTTTTGGGCGAAGGGGAAGTATTCCCATTATTGTAGCATACGTTATACATTCTTTTGCACATCGTTTCCTTAGTGTAGAGATTCATGCCACCGCTGCCGAGCAGGGCCACACGGGAGCTCGTGAAGAAGCGCAACGTCATCGAGGGCCCTCGCTCCCTCCATCGTGGGATTCACTACAACCTCAACGATGAAGTGGCCAGGTCGTACAAGACGAACCCCACCGCGAAGCGCGCCGACCCCCGCGAGCTCCTCGTCCACCACCAGCGCATCAAGGAGGACCTGCAAGAC